AGCCCCCCCCCCCCCCCAGAGGCTCCTGACACATGCTCATGAAGCTGCTTTCAACAAGTGACCCTGAAGAAACCGGCAGTACCACAATTGCTATCATCACGATATATATACAGTGGGTACGGAAAGTATTCAGACCCCTTTAAATTTTTCACTCTTTGTTTCATTGCAGCCATTTGCTAAAATCAAAAAAGTTCATTTTATTTCTCATTAATGTACACTCAGCACCCCGTCTTGACAGAAAAAAAAAGAAATGTAGAAAGTTTTGCAAATTTATTAAAAAAGAAAAATGTGACCATGTGAAATATCACATGGTCATAAGTATTCAGACCCTTTGCTGTGACACTCATATTTAACTCACATGCTGTCCATTTCTTCTGATCCTCCTTGAGATGGTTCTACTCCTTCATTGGAGTCCAGCTGTGTTTAATTAAACTGATTGGACTTGATTAGGAAAGGCACACACCTGTCTATATAAGACCTTACAGCTCACAGTGCATGTCAGAGCAAATGAGAATCATGAGGTCGAAGGAACTGCCCAAGGAGCTCAGAGACAGAATTGTGGCAAGGCACAGATCTGGCCAAGGTTACAAAAGAATTTCTGCAGCACTCAAGGTTCCTAAGAGCACAGTGGCCTCCATAATCCTTAAATGGAAGAAGTTTGGGACGACCAGAACTCTTCCTAGACCTGGCCGTCGAGCCAAACTGAGCAATCGTGGAAGAAGAGCCTTGGTGAGAGAGGTAAAGAAGAACCCAAAGATCACTTTGGCTGAGCTCCAGAGATGCAGTAGGGAGATGGGAGAAAGTTCCACAAAGTCAACTATCACTGCAGCCCTCCACCAGTCGGGGCTTTATGGCAGAGTGGCCCGACGGAAGCCTCTCCTCAGTGCAAGACATATGAAAGCCCGCATAGAGTTTGCCAAAAAACACATGAAGGACTCCCAGACTATGAGAAATAAGATTCTCTGGTCTGATGAGACCAAGATTGAACTTTTTGGCGTTAATTCTAAGCGGTATGTGTGGAGAAAACCAGGCATTGCTCATCACCTGCCCAATACAATCCCAACAGTGAAACATGGTGTTGGTGGCAGCATCATGCTATGGGGGTGTTTTTCAGCTGCAGGGACAGGACGACTGGTTGCAATTGAAGGAAAGATGAATGCGGCCAAGTACAGAGATATCCTGGAAGAAAACCTCTTCCAGAGTGCTCTGGACCTCAGACTGGGCCGAAGGTTCATCTTCCAACAAGACAGTGACCCTAAGCACACAGCTACAATAACAAAGGAGTGGCTTCGGAACAACTCTGTGACCATTCTTGACTGGCCCAGCCAGAGCCCTGACCTAAACCCAATTGAGCATCTCTAGAGAGACCTGAAAATGGCTGTCCACCAACATTCACCATCCAACCTGACGGAACTGGAGAGGATCTGCAAGGAAGAATGGCAGAGGATCCCCAAATCCAGGTGTGAAAAACTTGTTGCATCATTCCCAAGAAGACTCATGGCTGTACTAGCTCAAAAGGGTGCTTCTACTCAATACTGAGCAAAGGGTCTGAATACTTGACCATGTGATATTTCAGTTTTTCTTTTTTCATAAATTTGCAAAAATTTCTACATTTCTGTTTTTTTCTGTCAAGATGGGGTGCTGAGTGTACATTAATGAGAAATAAAATAAACTTTTTGGATTTTAGCAAATGGCTGCAATGAAACAGAGTGAAAAATTTAAAGGGGTCTGAATACTTTCCGTACCCACTGTATATACAGTATATATGTGTGTGTGTGTGTGTGTGTGTGTGTGTGTGCGTGTGTGCGTGTGTGTGTGTTAAGGTGTGGAGAGAGCTAATAGCAAAGGCATGCAGTGTTCTGCAGAGTATTTAGGTGACGTCTTGATGTGGCAGGTATGTATGACTACAAGCCTCCACTCGTTCCCTGGCTGCAGTTCAGGTCCATCGATTGCTCGATTGACGAAGAGCCAGTAATGAAAAAGATCACACCTGTGCTCCAGCAGAGCAGCTTCAGCCCCAAACCACTGTCAAATAAAGACTTGATGGAAAGACGATGGCAAGGGATGGCAGAGAGAGGCTTGCTGCTATAGAATAAAAGTGCATGTACCAAATATCTCCCCACAGGGCAATTCTGGCTACATGTTGCATTAATGTGTTGATTCATGTCAGCTGGAAATAACCACTAACTAGCACTGATCCTCCTATTATTTTGACCGAAACACATTCTCCAGGTCGCTAGGCTTCACTCTGGCAGAAACTCGTTGGAACGGGACTGGATCCTTTTTCTTTCCTTTTCTGTTTTCTGGCTGCTAGCATCGGCTAGCATTAGCAACATGGCTAATGCTGGCAGCCTAGCTAATGACCAAAGCAGGAAACAACTGTAATATATCTCAGTGCTATGATAGAGGCAAAGTAAAACACCCCAGAGGCTTCATTTTACCAGGAGATGGCGACACGGTGGAAGACAGAATTACATAATGAGAGCCAGACTAATAGGGAACCGGTCATTATTGGATAAACATCACGGTGTGCTATCAACATTTACTTCACAGTGATAAGTTAAAGCAAAAAGCTTGTCTATTGCCACTTTAATGGTGGGTTCACAACAAAACTCGTTACTCGCAGGAGTTTACTTGCTGGATCATTTGTGATTATTCGCAACATCATTCGCTCTAGAGGGAAGAAATGAACACTATTTCTGCTTAGTAGGCTCCTTGTTGTGGAAGTCCCAGATATCCCGGATAACTAAACGCCTTCTTGTCTGGTTCATAACATCATCTGGAGGAGCTCCGTGGATTTCATCACGGTCTATTCACTACATAATGATGCTGACTTGTAAAAAGTCTGAATTCGTGTTTTGTTAGTTCTCTCCACAAGACGACGAGCAAATAACTTTTAAAATACTTGTTTTCTCAATGGAGCTCGGATCAATCGGTGATGGGCTTTGCTAACTTTGTAGCAGCTCCATCAGCACTCAAAATAACGTCATCTGGGCGTAAATACGGCAGCTTTGTTTTCATTGTTTGTACATACATTTTCACACACAGTTTCGTCCGGTCTCTACTACTACTCTACAGGTATCATAGAGCCCTGGTCACACGAATTTCTCGCGCGAGTTTGCGTTTACTCCCATCTTTGCATTGACTTTAGAGAAGTCGAACGCTTTGTGTTTGGTGTGAATGCACCATAAGGCTGATAGGGACAGAGACAAATAGACGCTGAGAGGTCAGTGCTACATCCATCACGTGTGTCTCTGAACAGCATGCAGGTATTATTGTCATTGTCACATAAAGAGTTGGTTTTGGCTACACAACTTAAACAAAGTTAGTCTAAGCAACAGATGAGGCCCAGCCCAGAACCAGGGCCAGAGTTTCCAGGAAGACAGCCTGTTCTGACTTTTACTAGGAAACAGTGCTAAAAAACCCAGAGATATTTGCCAAAGCGTTGGTTAAAGTGTCTCCAACAGTTTCAGAGCGGCCGTCCCCTCGGGTTTACCGGGGCCGCTGAGAGCAGGAGCGGCTCCAGGTTGCTCTAACAACAATGGGATCAAACAGGACCATCAAAGCCAGGGAGCAGTTCAAAAGGCTGGCAGAGAGACCCTACTTTGGGCCCTCATACCGGCAGAGACCCAGAAAGCTGCTCCTTCAGCGATGCCGGTGGGAGCTTCCTACATGTGCGGAGCGTCACATTGCAAATGGAAACATTAAGGAAGCAGGGTAAGATGTGAGTGCTGGAGTGCCGGTGGTGATCTACTGCAGTAGGCTTTAAAAGGGACATCTGGTAACTACCATAAGTGTGATTTTCACACTAGAACCAAACCTCTCTGACAACTCAATAAAGAGCCCGCCCAGGTTAGCTGACCATTGCACCCGCGCCATCTGACAAAGATAACAAAAATCAATCTCGGCCGCTGCTGACTGGGAGCGATTTTGTTGCCAAGCCATGCATGAACCATTAAAGTTCATTCGTTTCCTCCCGGGCACTTTGAGGGAGGAGTACCAGGAGGAAGACACACATCCAGTCCACAGGAACATTCAGGCTTTCCCCTGTTTATTATTCTACCTCTGTCTTTTAGTCCACATTGGGAGTAATCAGTTGCAGGGGAGTCTGTTCTCCACCTCACACTGCCCCACTGGTTATCAATGGGAGCTTTCAGAAAGGACCTTTCCTCCACTGATCGGAACATCATTTCCTGCTGGACTTGCACACTGGGGCCATTGAGATGTGGCCCCCTGTAACTCCCTCACTGCGGCCCTTTCATATTTACTAGTGACCCGGAGACCTCTGGTCCAATATACATGAGGTATCAGCTTGCAGTGGGCCGAGGGTGCAAGGGGAATGAATGCACACAAACATTCTCTCAGCATGGAGCGGTCCATCTGAGAGATACAAGGCAGGTTTTTCACCGCAACTCCTGCACCGTTCCAAAATAAATAGTCCCGAATGAGAGAACTGGACCCTTTAAACATAGCGTCTGAGCCAAGTCAAAAGAACAGGAAAAGACTGTCTTTCAAGAAGCCACCAATCAGAGCAGCCTGCACTAAAGAATCTAGCAGCGACCCACTATAAAGCATGGTACATTAAATTGACTTCCATGTGGATTTGTGCTTGTGCTATAAAAAAAAAGCCTGTCAGCTCCCTGACGTTTTGAGGGTACGGCAGAGATTAGATGAGAGGGAGGAAGAAGTGGGGCAAAAGAAGGAGGGGTGGAGAGATAGAGAGAGAAAGAGAGAGAGAGAGAGAGAGACATGCTGCATTGCTGCATCTGTACGAGGTGTCTCTCCTGCTCCCCCACCAATTACTAACACTCACATTGATTCACTGAAGCGACCAGGTGTGGAGAACACGGGGGCTTACACATTAATCTATACATAACAATGCTGCAAGCTCGAAGGGTTGACATGTTCAAAATACATCCGGCCATCCGGAGCTCGGGATCGCTCTACAAACGCACCTCACACAGAGCAAGCAGGAGAGCACATGAGAGGTGGAGGATTACCTGTAGGTCAAAGAATTTGCTGTATCTTCTGTAGACGATGTGGGAGGTGTTGTCCGAGTAGGTGACATTGATGAGATATACCTGCCAAGAGAAGAAGAGTGGAGAATAAAGTTCAAACTTTTCTTTTAAATTTCTTTTCATTTCTGACTGGCTTGTTTTGTGCAGCCATCAGTGGAAAAGATACTTAACTGCAATGATACAAAGCAGCGGATACTCTCATTGGAGAAGCTGTAGCTAGAGAACGTTCTTGCTAGATAAATGACAAAACGATTCATAGATTACATTGGCAATCATTTTCCGTCCGTCGACAAATCAGCTACTCGATAGATGCCAGATGAATGGATTGTAATGGGATAAGCGTGGGCTCACACAGCCCGACACCAGCTCCCCCAAACACGAAGGTTCAATGACACACGCTCACAAATGTGATGGACAGTGACGTCACCCCTCCTCTGTCAGCACACTGACCTGTTGGCCTTCACCCTGGGCTGCAGCAATGATCCGTCAAGAGGAGGGAAGCGATGCCGCCATCATTTCTAATCTCATAGACGACCAACGAAGTCGAGCCAGAGGAACAGCAATGTTTCTCAGTAATCATCAGTTGACATTAAAGGGCTCTCAGGTGGATTAGTTGTTTCATAACATTAAGCTGCAAGCTTGTGAAGGGTTAATTACATTGAATTAACTGGGTACACCTCCAGAATCTAATCTAAAGCTTGTAGTGTTCTAATACTCTCTCACTCTCATGGATGTGGGGCTGAAGATTCCTCGAGACACTCCAGTGACTCCATTACTAAGAATCATCGATGCTAATTCTTTGCATGGCCACATCGTCAGTGTCTTCCCAAATGAGGTACGCTGCACGACTACAAGAGGCCTGAAATATTCAAGCTGCTGTGTCTCTGGTGAGGACACACTCAAAGTAGCATATTTCCATCAGCCTAAACAAAAAGCATTCATGGGGTTTTCGGATATTTTGCACTTCAAAGCTGTTAAATATCTGGCGTGTACTCAACCTGCAGCTAAAATAACCATTATGAAGGGATTTACAATAAAACGAGATGTTGTCACCCATCCAAAGCCTTCCAGCGAAGTGGCCCAGACACAGCGCAAATAGAAATCCACTTAGCGTCAAGGCACCGTGAACACAGAAACCGTTGGCTTTGCCTCTTGTACAGCATTCAGATTAAATAAAGGCAACGCGTTTCCCTGGTGAGGCATTGCTGCTCCGTCCTCCAGCAGGCTCCACCTCTGACTAATCTTACACTGTCACTCCGACCCCTCTGTACCTGCCAAGAGGCTCCCGAGCAGAGCCCCGGTAAACGAGGGGGAGTGGAAGACCCCGACATCGACGTACGGAGGGCAGCAGCTTGAAACAAAAGAGGTTCCGCTACAACGCCGAGGGGTTAGAAGGCCTTGTTGCTGCTTGGAAGGGGCTCGGCTGCTGCTGGCAAGGAGCCACCCCAGTATGTTCCCACCCATGCAAAACACAGCACACTCCTGGCATCAAGAAGCTGCGACTGTCACACTACACTCACAAACTTGTTCCTAGCACGGTGGGGTGTCACCACAGCCACTGGCTTTGGCATTCATTGCTATGAAAATGTGCTCCCCAGGGAACCTCTGAATTACTCAAATCACTAAAGTGAAAAATGGCTCGCTGCCAAAGTCAGCAATATTTCCCAGTGTCTTTGTGACAGGGACTTGTGAGGATAGGAAACAGCTGTTTTCAGAGCTCATTAGAGCATCTCTTAAAGAGATGAGAGGGCGCTTCAGAGAACTGAAGGGCACAAAGAGAGATAACTGGGTGAGGCGTCCTCACGTCATGTGGAGCTTCATTCTAGGCCAGCATTGACCTCACTGGCACAAATAGCTAGCATACCTTTATGCTGTTAGATAGGGACTCAGAGGGACTGGAGCGGCTACCCCACAGCTTGTTCGGGTGTGTGGTCCTAATGGGTTTTTTATTGAAAAAAATCCAAAGAAGCCATATTGGTTAATATTCAGATTTTATCCACACTAGTGGTGTGGCTCTGTGGATTCAAACGTCCATCAGTCAGTCAGGAAATTCAGCGATCACATTCATGGTCCCCAGAGGATGAATCATAGGGAATTTGGTGATCCTCTGACTTTTTCCTGTAGAGCCACCATGCGACAATGACATTTGTGTCTTTGAGTGACATGTCTCAACAACTATCGGATGGATTGTCTTTCAATTTGATGCAGAAATCCATGTGCCCAGAGGATGAATCCTAACGATGCTCTGAGTTATTATCTGACTCCACTAGCTGTTTAAAGTTATTACTTACCAATGAAGTTGACATCTGTGGTTTTGAGTGAAATGTCTGGATTGATTGCAACATTTGGTGCAGACAGTGATGTCCCCTTCTGGACTGATTGTAATAGCTTTGGTGATCCCTTACCTAACATTTAGCGCCATCATGAGGTCTAACTCTTCCTTTGTTTATGACCAAATACCTGGAGCTCCCAACCGCTCCCTGAATGAAGCGCTAACTAGCCAACATGCTGAACTAAAAATGATTCTAAACATTGTCATTGTGAGTGTGTTAGCATGCTGACATTAGCATTGAGCTCACAGCATTGCTGTGCCGAAGTACAGCATCGCACAGCTGCTAGCATGGTGGTAAACACTAGTCCAAATATATCTTTGGCAATTCTGTCCTGCAGAATGTCCAAAGATATCCAAACAGAAACGTCTGTGGTCAAACAAATATCAGCTGTATGTCAGCCTGGTCAGGATACAGTCTATGAAGAACTCACTCCAATTCTACCATGTGACTCAGTGTTCGGCCCCCCTAAGGCCTTAAGACCAGAACCCTCAGGGACTGACATCCTCCTAGTAAATGCTTGAGTGTGAGAGACTGTAAGGGCTTGAAATTATGTAAATATGAATGGGACAGTACTGTGCCATGACAATGTAAAAAATGATGATGTATAATTGTGGGTATTTATTAGATACTTTTTACTTCCTGATTTGAACGTCCTCCAGACACTTTCCTCACAAGATGAGAGGTAATTTCGAATAATTTATTTACTCGCTTTTGTCAAAACAGCTTCAATGACAAAATTAAATGTTTGATGAATAAATATGTGTAATATAATCTCTGATTTCATGTTTTAATGTTCCATCTTTAATCCTTAATGTTTCTGAGTAAATGTAATATTCCAGGCTGAATGACATCCGTCCTCTTTGTTTACTATTTTTTACGTCATCTTTCACTGTTAACCCCATGTTTAATTTCACATTGCTATGAATTGTGGGTAATTCCCTTAAGCAAAGTCTGCAGAAAGTGTTTATAAAGGGCTCAAAATGTCTGAGAGAGTCCTCAAACACTTGATGATTTTACAGTGGGACAACCCTAAACCCTCACGACTTTACGGGAGCGCGCTTCAAAGTCCTTGAGTGTGTGAGTGTGGAGATTGGGTCCCAGTGTACTCTACAAACTCCTCCCATCATGCCTCAAGGCAATCCGTGCTTAGCTGAGGTCCACGATGGGAACCAGGCTGAACGATGTGGACTCAGTGAAAAGATCCAAACCCCAGAAGCAGATAGGTACAGTATGTAATGGCAGCAGCAGTGGAAAACACAACCAACAACCATCCATGGTCTGCCCATGCTGAAAATATCAAGCTTAAACCTAATGCCCCGTCCCTGTCCCCAAAATAGACTCTATTCACTCCTCAACACTCCCAGTGAAGTAGAACAGTCTGGGCTGCTGCCGTTCTCCATGCAGTGACAGATATCGAGCAGTGAAAATCTCATCTAATCTCATGACTTCATTCTGCATACTGACTTCATTCTGCATACTAACTTCATTGTGAATAGTGACTTTATTCTGAATACTGACTTTATTCTACACACTGACTTTATTCTACATATTGACTTCATTCTGCATACTGACTTCATTCTGCATACTGACTTTATTCTGCATAC